GTACCTGGCACACAGCTTGGCCATCCTGACGGATGCAGCCCACCTCCTGACGGACTTTGCCAGCATCATGATCAGCCTCTTTGCTCTGTGGGTGTCCTCACGCCCCCCCACCAAAACCATGAACTTCGGCTGGCACCGGGCAGGTAACGGGGCGGCACCACCCCCAGGGCTGCCATCCAGCTCCCGGAGACCCCAGGGAGCACTCGGAGCATCCCAGGGTGCCCTCCCCACGGGGACCGGGTGCCTCGGGGAGCCCTGGGGGGCATGGGGAGCCCTGGCAAAGCCCCAGCACCACGTGCGCGGGCAGGGCAGGGCACAGGCACCGCCGTCTCCGTGCAGGGAGCAACCCCGGGGATGGGTGCCGGGTGCCCACGCCGAGCCCCAGTGCTGCCAGGGGGGCTGGGAGGGTGCTCGGGCTCGGTGCGGCGGCTCCACGGGGTGAAGCGGCAACACGGGGCGCTGGGGTCCTCTCCACAGAGATCCTGGGAGCCCTGCTCTCCGTGCTCTCTATCTGGGTGGTGACGGGCGTCCTGGTCTACCTGGCGGCCCAGCGCCTGCTCTCGGCTGACTATGACATTGAGGGTGGCGTCATGCTCATCACCTCCGCCTGCGCCGTGGCCGTCAACGTCGTGTACGTACGGCCGGGTCTCACCCTCCCTGGGTGTCCCCCACCCCATGCCCGGTGGCCCCAGGGACGTCACCGCTGCCCTGCCCGCAGGATGGGGGTGGCCCTGCACCAGACGGGGCACGGGCACAGCCACGGAGCGGCCGGTGAGCAGCCCAATGCCAGTGTCCGCGCTGCCTTCGTCCACGTCGTGGGGGACCTGCTGCAGAGCGTCGGCGTCCTCATCGCATCCTACATCATCTTCTTTAAGGTCTGGGTGGTCACAGGGACAGAGGGGATGCTGGGTACGGGGACACAGGGACAGTGGCTACAGCCAGCCCTGGCCAGGCACAGGGGCGAGACAGAGGGGACAGTGTCCCCTCCCTGCTGGTGCCGATGGGGATTTGGGGTGGGGTGACTGCGCCGGCAGGGCCCCACCCTCTCCCACCCCCCCCAGCCCGAGTACAAGTACGTGGATCCCATCTGCACCTTCCTCTTCTCCGCGCTGGTGCTGGGGACAACGCTGACCATCCTCCGCGACGTCCTCCTCGTCCTCATGGAGGGTAGGGACCCACCAGGGGGGGTCCGGGCCATGGGGCCACCCGTGGGTGCGGCGGCCCCCGTCCCTCCAGCGCCTGCGGCTCTCCCTCCCCAGGCACCCCCAAAGGGATGGACTTCAATGCCGTGCGGGAG